GTAATGATGGAATAGCTTGATCAGGTTAACCTTCCTGTAGATGATAGCCACTAAACCTGGATAAACTTTTCACAAGAAAGCAAAAAACCTGAAAACACTGCAGGGTGAACAAAATCAGGCAGATGATAAGGGAAATCATCTGTGAAAGTAGAATTTTAAGGGTTAAGATTTCTGAGTTTGTAACTTTCCACATGGACCCTTCCTGTTACACAATAAATAGGAAAAACCTTATAGAAAACATGGCACATCAAGCAGGAAATCTGGAAGGCCCTTTATCTTTCAAATAAATTGAATTCATAATCAGAAAACATCACAAAGTAATTTCAAACTCAGGATTTTAATGGTGAATTCTATTACATCAAAGTCAGAAACAACACCAACCTTACACTCTTTCAGAAGGCAAAGGGAAAAGGAACACTTCCTAAATTATTGTAAAATGCTAATATTACCCTATCAAACCTGGCAAAGATATTACAAGAAAATATAATTAAGGCCAATATTCTTAATGATCACATTCATAAAAACTCTTAATAAAGTATTAGCAAATTGATCTAGCAACATATGACAAGAATAAGATTATGACCAGTTGGCATTTATGGACAGGAATGCAAGTTACCATTTAAAAAATCAAATATTTAAATCAATTATATCAACAAAATAACTTAATACAGTCATCTCAATAGATTCAGGAAAGTCACTGGACACAATTCATCAACCATTTAGGATTTTAAAAACAAGCCTACACATAAACAACATCAGAAACAGTAAGCCAGCTGGCAGAGTGTCTTAAGGGGTAGCCTGCCTAGCAAGCATGAGGCCCTGATTTCAAACCTCAGTACCATCCCCCTCAAAAAAATCAAATCAGCCAACCTGAAATAGAGGAGAATTTTCCATGTAATAAAGGACATCTATAAATATTCCTGAGTTAATATCTGTCAATCTTGAAAACAGACATGAAGACTGAAAAATAAAACTTATTCACAACATGAATTTTTAATAGAAAAAATTCCTAAGAAATCTATTTTTAAAAACTATTAGTTCTAATAAATGCATTTAGCAAAGTTTTAGAGTATATAATCACTGCACAAAAAGTCAATTTATATTTGTATTTCTTAAAAGCTTTAAACAGGAGACACAATATTGTCATATGACAACTCTTCCCAAAATAGTCTATTAAATTCAGCTTAAGCACAATCATAATCCTACAGAAGTTAACAAGCCTATTCTAAAATTTATATAAAATTACGAAAGGTTAGTATAAATGCAGTCCAGAAATAGACCCATACACATTTGGTTAATTGATTTTTCTATGTAAATGAAAGCAATTTAGTGGGCAACAAAAGGAATTTTCAGCAAATACTGCTAGATCCATCTGAATATCTATAAGGAAAGAAACTCAATCTTGACCTCATGCTACTAAAGTAAAGAAATTAACTTAAGGGCAACATGAATGAGCTAAATGTTTTAGACAAATCTTAAGTAATACAAAAAAAATCTTGTAAGAAAAAAATATCATGAACTTGAGGTAGATAAACAGTACTTAGGACAAGAAAACAATAGACAAAAAAGAAAAATGATTGTTGCTCTTTATCAAAACTAAAACCTTTGGTTCAACAAAAGACAGTTAAGAAAATAAGTGAAGTATGAGAAAATATTCATAAAACATATATCTGAAAAAGATCTCATATGTAAAATATATAAAGAATTGTTAGAACTCAGTAATAAAAGACAAAAAATGGGCAAAAGAAGTACCAAAAAATGGGAGAAGTAGTACCAAACACCAAGCAGCACATTAAATAAAAAGTGCTCAACATCATTATTCTTCATGGAAACACTAATTCAAACATGCCAAGATACCATTCACAACCCTACTAGAATTGTTAAAATTCAAGACCAAAACCATTAAATGTTGGCAACAACAGAGGAAAACCAGACTATTTCCTATTTTCCTAGTACAGAATGTGAAGGGTACAATCTCTTTAGGAAAAAAAAAAGGTAACTCAATATACACATGCCATCATATCTGCAATTAGGTATCTCTCCAAGAAAAGAGAAAATTTATGTTCACCAAAAGACACAAAGGATTAAGAGCAGCTTTATTTACCAACAACCAAAAGCTAGAAATAATACAAAAGGCCAACAACTGGCTATCAGACAAACAGAATGTGGTATATTCATACAATGGACAGTACTCCAGAATAAAAAGGAATGGATTACACAAGCAATGACACAAATGAATGCCAAAGAAATTGTGCTTAGTACAAAAAGGCCATACAAAAGGCTACATGTGATTCCTTTCATATGAATTTAGATGAACCTAATTTAAGGTAATTAAGGTTACCTATGGGAGGAAGCCATTGGGTGGGATAGAACTTTCTAGAATGATGGACATGCTCCAAACCATAAGGATGTAATTACAGGAGTTCATCCATTTGTCAGTATGTGTGGCTGAGATATATTCAATACATGTAAATTTTACCTTAGCAAAACAACTAATAATATCACTAAAGGAGGTAAACTGGAGATATGAATTACAAAATAGTAGCAGGATGTTGATACTTTTCAAAGCTAGGGGAGGGGTACATTGGAATAGATTTTATTATCTTAATTGTTATGTGTTTGAAAGTTTCCATAAAAGTTGTTAAAAAGTAGTAGAGCGCTGAGTAAAACTGAAACAGGAAAAACCAGAATAGCTATTTGAGCTGCTCAGGTGGCGGCAGTTGTAGGAGAGTTAGGTGGGAAAGGCAATTGGAAGAGTGGTGACTTCACAAGATCTTGGGAGACATGGCAAGGGTAGGTGGGAAAGGAAGATGAAAGGGAATATGAAAGATGGGGAGGTGGAAGAGATAAAGTCGAGGAGGGCATTGAGCTACCTGGTTTAACCAATAGGAGCAAAGGTGTGCAGAAGGACAGGTTGTCTTGGGATGGATTCTCAAGGTACATGGTAGGATACTGAGGCAGTTCTGGAAAAGCCTGGGGTCAAGGTAGACCCCAAAAGGACCTCTTCTCCTAAGATCATGTAATAAAGTGAATGTTTGTATCTTCCCAAAATTCATGTGGAAAACAATGTGATGATATTCAGAGGTGAAGCTTCTAGGGGGTAATTAAGATGTAGGTGGAGCACTCATACAATGGATTGGTACCCTTATAAGAGACCAGAGAGCTAGCAAATTCTTACTATTTGAGAACACAAGATGGCTTCTGTAAACCAAGTAGGGCCCCAACTCCTCATTACCTGGATCTTGGACTTCCCAGCTTCCAGAACTATGAGAAAGAAATGTTTGTCCACTAAGTCACTCAGTTTGTGGTTATTTTGTTGGAGCAGCCTGAGCTAAGGCAAATCACCTACTGTTCATCTGAACTGTGTCCCTGTGACAAAACCCTAATAAGTTACACAAAAGGACCTGTGCCTTGTATGGACCTTGAGTTGGAGGTGGCAGTCAGAAAGAGATGAATCCTTCCAACCCTGGCCAGTGGTGTCAGCCTGGGTTGCCCTAAATACAGGAGGGGACAAATTCCAGAGCATATATGCCATGACCACCATGCAGTGAGCACATGCACTCATCCCCTAACATAAATTCTCCACGGGGATGTGGGATGAGGGTCATTAGTCCTGTTTTCAAGGTGAGGAAAAGCAACAAGCAGGAACTGAAGTCTTCTGGACTCCAAAGTCAATCACAATGTGTCCTCCAGGCCTGGGCAGAATCCACTCCTGACACCTGCCCATTTGCAGCCCAGGTAGTCACATGACTATTCAGGCTCTTCAAACTTCCTGACTCCTCTCAGTATACCCAATGTGCCTTCATCCTTGTCCTCTCAAAATGAGCTGTCCCTTCCCTGCCTGTTCCTGTTGTCTGGATGCTCTTCTTCCCCTTTGCATAGCTGGTGCCATCCCAGCCCCAGTTCACCTCCCCAGCGAGTCTTTCTTCAAGGGCTTCTTCCTAATGTAAATTTTTGAAGCTCTTGCTGCTTTCTTCAGAGCCGCTAAGTGATTTGAAAATATTTTATGTCTCTCCCTCTCCAGAACGTAAGTTCCAGTTAATGCACACCATACCTGTCTTGATAGGGACAACTGACCATTGGAACTACTTCTCCTTAACAAGCTCCCTTTTAAACAAGCCCTAAGCAAAACAACTCAGGGTATTCCTTGAGTGAATGTGCACCCTGGAAGGGGAAGAGCATGGCCCTCTTCAAAGCCACAGAAAAACAAACTATTAGTGAAGACACTTCATTTCTCAACTACACAGAAATTTGCAAATTAGGCAAGAAGCTGAAACACAAATGAGCCTCTGCCTCTAATCCTAATGAAGATAGGTATGGTGGTGGTGATGGCAGTTACCACAGACAATTAAGTTGCCTTACTACATGTTACATTTATCTACAGTTTTTATTTGTGTTTGTGTTTATCTACACATTTATCTCTGAAATACCCTGGATGATGGCGACTATAATATATACACAAAGCATGAGATAACTGTGATTCAAGAGACCTATGGTCTAGGTATAAGGCAATTAGACAAATGCCATACCTCATTCTATCAAAAGTTGGCTAGGATGTTCTCTGTGGAGCCCATTCCCTCTCTCCCTTTCTCTCCCCCCTCCGCCACACACAAAACACACAACTCCATTTCTCCCACTCTCCCAAGACCCACATTAGAATAAGAAGTCTTCAAAACTATATTCAGGGCTGGGTGTGGCTCAAGTGAGAGAGCACCTGCCTAGCAAGTGTGAGGCCTTGAGTTCAAACCCCAGTACCACAAAAAAAACAAAGCCATATTCAAATCAAATAGCTTTATTGACTGTCTCTGATCTATAATAGGTGAAAATAGGTCAATTTAAGGACATTCTAAATCTTGTTTTGGCTTCCTGTTGTACTGAAAGACCAGTGACAGGCACTGGGTTAACAATCAGAAGACAACAGATGTGAATGCTGCTGGTTAACAAAGTCTATCATGATTCATTCCACAGTTCTAAGGATCTTCTCATTTGGTTTTATTTTCTTTCATAACATCTTCCTCTTTTCAAATTCCTTCAAAAACACAAGAGGGGAGAAAAGGGGATAAAAAGATAAGACATCCAAATTACAAAAATAAAATGTACCAGGATGAGGGTACTGAACACAAAGTAATAACTTTCAAATTGTCTGGGTCAGCTTAAATCTCACTAAGCTAGATACAGATCTTCAACTTTGTCTCCTAAACCCAAAAGTTAAAAGGGGGTTTTAAATAATACTTGTACCTTCACTGGTGTTCTTATAAGAACACTGTGAAATTCACTGTGCTTATCTAAAACCTGTAATGCCATGTACATGAGTACAAAAGATATTTTATTAAGGCAATGGAGACAGGTTTGCTTACTTTCTCACAGAATAAAACTAAACACAGCTTTATTAGAGTTTGAACAACATGTCAAGCACTTTAGAAACACGTGAAACAAACAAATACCTTAAAGTCTTGTTGAAAGAAACAATAATGGAAATCATATTTTTCTAGAATGTAGCAATTAGAATGGACAAAATGAGTAGATGCCTGCTGCCACTTACTGGAGCAAACCGGTAACACACATCTCCAATGTGAACTTAAATATTTGCATTTCTCCTTTTCTCCCACTTTCAAATAAAATTCTTCACACATTAACTAACCACCCAAACTTCTTCAAACACATGGTACACAGTGTTATATTCCAAAAGACAGGATATAAAAAGATTCAGTAAAAACAAGGAGTCCACTTCATTATCCCTAAGACAAAGGCAAAAAATATTACATAAAAAACAGGACTTTTGAATTCTCTCTGAACACTGTTCCCTTCTAAGAAAATAACTGTGCCTGTTTTCAGCATGCTTAAGAAGTAGGGAGAATGTACTTCAGGAATGGGGAGAGAAGAAATAAAGGAGAATGATGGAGGGGGTAAATTCAAATATGACATATTTGATATATTATAAGAACTTCTGTAAATGCCACAATGTATCCCCACTCAGCACAATAATTAAAAAAAAAAAAAAAAAGTTGGGAGGGCTGGTGGTGTGGCTCAAACTATGGAGTGCCTCACTAGCAAGCACAAGGCCCTGAGTTCAAATGCCAGTTCCACAAAAAAAGAAGTAGGGGTTTTTTGGCTATTTTTGCTCTTTTGGTCAAGGTTAGAACTACCACAAAAATAAAGAGGGAGAAACATCCTTAAAATTACTTGAAGAAACAAGCTGGAAACCACTGCAAAGAGATTATGAAAGGCTACAGATCACTGAGGATACTTCAAACCACAATATCCTATTAAAAAGGGAAGAGTGCAGCAAATACTTCCAAACTTGCTCCAATGCAAAAATGGTGTCAACACAGGCAGGGCCCGAAGCACAGGGTAACTCTCCCTCCTTAGACCTCTCCCTACGACAAATGCCTCTTCACAGTTTTTGTTTCTTGTCATTGAACCTCCAGCCCCTCTACCTGCAAACAGAACCTATGGGGGTCAGGTCTGCTACATCCTAAAAGCCCTCCCTGAAAAACACAAAACATGAAACACAAGGCTAACATACCTCACCCATATTCCAAAATGGAAATTGTGGCTCTTATGGCCCCCGAAATGTGTTTTCACATGCCATTTATAGAAGAACAAATCTCAGTGTTTAAAGGAGAAAGTTTTTAAATGAGAACATTATAATATTAATGAAATGCTTCAAGACTATTAAGCTTTGCAAAGAGAGTGAAATAAAACAAATTAAGGCCCAGAAGAAAAGACTGTGGTTTCCAGGCACCCACTGTGGCCCCACAATGAGAGGATTCATAACCTCAGAGCACTTGGGCTCCACTGTTACACTCACCTTGTACATGGTGGTTCCCAGCTGTGCTGGAGACATGCTGACCACAACTCCCGCACTCTGAAGGGCAGCAATCTTCTCTTTAGCTCCACCTTTTCCTCCAGCAATAATAGCACCTGCATGTCCCATTCTTCTGCCAGGAGGTGCAGTTAAACCAGCAATGAAGGATACTACAGGCTTGGCATTTGGACCCTGGAAAGAAAGTGGTATTTTAAACCCTCTAATGAAAAGGTGTATCAAAAACAGATCTCACATCCCTGACTCCGATGGTAAATGGCAAATGGCTAGGACAAGGCAAAGACATTATTCGACCTAAGAATACCAACACAAGTATTAAACAACAACTGAAACTAATGCTTTCTCCTTTGAGATAACTCGACTTTCTATACAAACTCAGGAAAATAATCCTGAGTAAACTTTTGTATCTGCTGAGTATCAGCAACTTCACTGGCACAAGCTACTTTACAAATACACATGTGAATCTTTCATTTGAAAAACTAAAAAACCACACCTGAAAATTTGTTATATGACTTGCTATAATAATGTCTCAAGACCCAAGATCGAGTTGTTTTACTTCAACATAATTTTGTCTTAAGTCATTATGAGTTCATCCATAAGAAAAGTGCTAAAATTACAAAGACAAGAGGGAAACATTTACTGGAAAGGACCTAAGACTTAGACTCACTTTCCTATTAACTAAGATGTCATGCCCTTGGACCATGTCACTTGTCCAGGCCTCTGTTTCCTCATCTACGAAATGAAATGGCTAAACTAGACTTGATGGTCAACAGCCCTTTCCACTCTGAAATTCTATGGTGTCCAAAGAAGGAAGATCAAGATCAGTTTTATTCAACAAAAATCCATTCTAATGTATAACCTCTGGTACATAAATATCATTGTATTAGATTTTGAGGTTCAAAAACAACTTCATACGCAGAAAATATAAGCATTTCTGTGCCCTGAACTTATAATAAAGTTGAAGAAATAATATGAAATGCTTATATATCAATGAGTCAAGAGATACCATACAGCAATACATGAATCTAAGTTTAAGTTTCACAATGAACAATGGCATTATGTTCATAAGAGTCCAGAGGCAATCAGGGATCCAGGGGAAACAGAGGCTTGTAGAAGGCAGCACTGATAGCCTCATTCGGACACTACCATGTTCAACTAGACCAGCAGTTCTCAAATCATTTGGTCAGAGGATCCTGTATGCTTATAAAAATTACTGAGGATCTCAGAGCTTTTATCTACATAAATAACAAAAATCCATTCTAATGTGGAACCTCTAGGTACAAAAATACTGCTGTACTAGATTCTGAGTTATCTAGTCTATAAAGATTATATACACTGATATTAAATGTATCAGAAATGAAAACTGAAAAATTCTATAAATATTCATTAATTCACTTAAAATGTAACTTTTTAAAGTGGCATTTTTTAAAACATTCTAAGTGAGAAGAGTGACATTTTGCAACTAATTTTTGCAATTCTGACTGCTTCACTTAATGACAAATAATACCTGCTTTTGCATTCAATCTGTTGCAATGTAATTTTAATTGAAGACAATCCAGCCTCACAGCCTCATGTAATTCGAAAAAGGAGAAGCATAGCTGGACAGCAGTGGCTCACACCTATTATCCTAGCTACTCAGAAGGCAGAGATCTGGAGGATCACGGTTCAAAGCCTGCCAGGGCAAATAGTTCACAAGACCCTATCTCAAAAATAACCAACACAAAAAAGGGATGGCAGAGTAGCTCAAGTGATAGAGTGCTTGCCTGATAAGCATGAAGCACTGAGTTCAAACTACAGTATCATCAAAAAAAAAAAAAAAAGAGAAGCATGTTAATTGCCTGACAGATAACTGTATGTGGACATTCTTTGACACTACACAAACATCTTTCAAGAGGTAATTTCTCAAAGGTTAGATGCAATGCTGGAATCTAAACATAGCAATGAAGTTTTTGTCCTATTTTTACTTTGAAATCCATGAGTCTGAATGGCTCTTCTACACACAATGATTTTGTAACATGCACTAGGTAAATTGGAAAATACCAGTTCGTTGAGTTATGTAGATCCTCCAGATGCTGACACGTTTTATCATTCAGTAACAACGAATCAGCAGTATTGTCAGTATCACCATCAATCTCATGAGAAAAGCCTTTTGAGTAGAGGGAAGGTAAGATCATGGTGGGAGATAGTTTTCCAAAATGATAATATTCACTTGAAAGCTCAAATTTTATCATTACTAACAAGCACTATTAGTTGTTTTCTTTGATACGACATGTCTGCTTTGATCATTTTTGAGAAAAGGCCTATAAATACCCAAATCTAAAGAACCAGTTCATCTGCCAGTCATTCTTTCAAATAAAACTGGTGCTCCCTGGATGCAGCACAGCATGCAACTCACAGCACAACTGCAAGAGAGCTTTGCTTCCCATCTTACCACAAAATGCTGACTTAAGGATTGAGATTTTAAAAAACTAACAATTTTTATTGTTTCATCAAGAACATACATTTTTTTTCTCAGTGTACTGCAGCACTTTGTTTCTCCTTACACAAAGATGTGTTGCTAAGGCTTAATGTTTTCATATAACAGCAGAAAACCAAAATTTGTTGTCATATCTTAAAGAACTGAGTACGAAAACCTTACATAAATTACAAAAATGAATAAATTTACAGGTGTAAATGCAAACCGTTTCCAACTCTAGGCAAGTAACAACCTATGGCTTTCAGGAGGGAAAAACACCACTAAGAACGGAAACTGGATCCTAAGGCTTGGACTTTCCCACTCCTTTAGGCTGGCAAGACTGAAATGACAACTTGAGAAATCCTGAAACAGTCAGCTCTGACCCGTTAGTACCCTGCCCAGATCACTGCACCATGCTCATGCTGATCCAGCAGACTGGGGATTTCTCCTCCACAGCATGCTTTTGCCTCAGCCACAAAGTGACAATGCCACATGGACTAAGAGCCGAAATCAAAGATAGGCACAGGGTATTAAACATATACTAAGAGAACAGTAACTTGAATAGAAGGTCAAAATCAGCAACAAGTTCTACCATCCAGTGCTGATATCACATACAAACTTCAAGGACAAATTTCTTTTCAAAAGCTTATTCAAGAGCATTCTTAAGTGAAGTGATTTTTTTTTTTTTCACTGCAAATACCTGACAGTGAAAGAGAACTAGCACAACTCCACTACCCTGATTCATGCAGGGTGCTACATGGTCTGACTTAGCTGGCTCTAGCCTCGGCCTCCACTGTTGTTCCCTTTTTATCTTCCAGGAATGAGGACTGCTCTACATCAGTGCCTTTGCTCAGAATATTCTTTACCCTCCTTAGATGCCTGGATTTTTTTTTCTGCATCACCCAGAAACCTTTCTGGAGTCTCCTTCCATACTCTCCACAAATATTGTCACAGATGACCATCTCTTCAGTGACCCTTCTCTGCCTTTCCCATTATATTCAGTATACTGGCTGTGACCTACTTTCCCATGTGTCCCCCTACTAAACAATGAACTCCCTGAACCCAGGGATCCTATGCTCACTCAATTGCTGCCTAGCACCTACTACTAGGCTACAGTGTCTGCAGTATAGAATTAAAAAGAAAAGATTCCACAGGTCATTTATTCATTCACTCATGCTGTCTGCATAGAATGAGAATCTCCTATTTAGGTGATACTAATTTCTACTTGATCCCTCTCTCAAAACCCCTCGAAAGTGTGAATATAGTTGTGCTAGGAAAGAAAAGATGACAATAAACCAAAATGTCAAACTTATACTCTGCCCATTGACAAAGAAGAGTCACTAGAGATTTCTGAAGTGGAGAAAAATACAACTAAACTATAGGGAAGTATAGTCTGAAATGTGAAAACCTGAGAATAGAGAGCAGTTAGGATGGATAGTATCAGTATGGTCTGAGCACATACCCCACATTGTGCTCAGTCTTTGTCCTTCACCCCTGCAATCTGACTGCCCACCTCCACCGTGTAATGGCAAAGGCAGGACACTCCATCTGAATCCCTTTCCTGATTCATATGCTGTACACCACACATGGCAAATCACTGACCTTCCTGTGCCAGTTCCCTGATCCAAAAAGGAGGACAAACACATCATCTGCAAAGGCTCAAAATGAAGATTAAACAACACAACTTTTGGGGGTTTTTTTGTGTGTGGGACTGGGATTTGAACTCACAGCTTTGTGCTTGCAAAGCAGGTGCTCTACCTCTTGAGCCACACCTCCAGTCTAACAACACAACTTTACAAATAATTATTGCTACTGTAACGCTAACAGCAGTGGTAGCAGCAGATAATGTTTACTGAGAGTTTACTCCATTCTGGGTATTATGCTAAGTGCTTATGTAACATGTCCTCTGAATACTTAACCTTGAATTTTATGCACAGTAGGTCCTCGATAATATAAAATTATTAATATTCACCTTAATACCTTAACAGTATATCATATTAATCTAAATTCTTCTTTTACAAAGAGAAGTCAAGTTTTATTTAAATTTCAAGCTTTACAACTTTTCTGAATTCAAGAGACTCTACTAACATTCTACTCTAATCTCTTAAAAATCTACTTTATTCTTTCATTAGTTTGACATTCATTTGGTGCCACAGTACCAGGGGATAGGGCTGAGCACCAGATAACAGTTTCCTGTCATACACAATTAGACCAGACTGACAGTTCGACACTAAACATGTCAAAGGAAAACGCATAGGCAAGTAAGAATGAAGACCAGTGAGTCAAAAGAGACGGTTAGGGTAATATGCAAGGGACCAGAGTACCAAGCTAAATCTGCCCTTTACTCAACCCGTACTGGAAAACACTGCCTGTTTCAAAAGGGACAAAAGGGACCAATGCCTGTTTCACAAGGGCAGATAAACAGCATGCCCTAGAAGAGAAGAGGGAGTTTGAGGAAAGGAGTAGAGACATCAAGGTAGATACTACTGAGATGCCATAGCACAGAGAAATAAAAGATGGTTCTCCATTTCTGTCATGGAAACTATGTGAAGTATGATGTTGTTTATATAAGATAATTATTCACATCTATGGAGCAAGCACATAAAACAGAGCCATGGGGGCCAGGTGTGGTAGCACACACTTATAGGCAGAGACAGGAGGATGACAGTTCAAGGCCAGTTACAGTAAAAAAAAAAATTAGTGATACTCCATCTCAACAAATAAGCCAGGCATGGTGGGATACAGCTGTAATCCCAGCTACTCAAGAGATATAGATAGGAAAATCTTGGTCCAAGTCCAGTCCAGGGCAAAGGCCAGTCTAGGGCAAAATTGTGAGCCTCTATCTAAAACAAACTAAAGCAAAAAGGGATGGAGACATGGTCGAAGTGGTATAGCAACCACTTAGCAAGCATGAGATCCCTAAGTTCAAAAGCTAGTACCACCAAAAAATAAATAAATAAATAAACCATAAGAATTAAATTAAAATAATAAAATAGAGCCATGAAAGGCTAAAGGGGGGAAAACTAGGAGGAAGATTTCACAAAGAGGATGAAAAATGAATGGAGGCTACCAGGAACCTCTGAAAAAACGAGGTCAGGAGATCTGGGCAATTTGACAGCAGCAATTTAATCAGAGGACTTTCTATGCACTGGGCAGTACCCTACTGTGTGTGCGTGATTACTGCACCCCTACTTTGCCAATGAGGACAATGAGGCAGCAAGGTTAAGAATCATTCTCTAAGTCATTTTATTTCTTTCTTTTATTAATTTTTTTGGGGGGGAGCCATTTCTGGGGTTTGAACTCAGGGCCTCTCACTTGAGCTCTGCCATGTGAGCCATATCTCTAGCTCTTTTTGCTTTAGTTTTTTTTTAGGTAGGGTCTCTCGTGTTTTTGCCAAGGACTGGTCTCAAGCGGCATCCCCCTATCTACACCTGGAATTACAGGCATGCACCACTGAGTCAGACCTCAAGATCACTTAGTTTTTAAAAGGCCGACAGAAGCCAGAGACTGAGAAGGATTAGAGTGAATGACAAGTAAGGAAAGGGATCCAGAAGCAGGAAGAAAGTTGTGTCACATCTTATGTTGAAGTTATAGCTTACGATCACCAGAAAAAAATCAAGCATACTCAAAAGAACCCTTGAAAATTCCTTTAAGCACCAGTAAATGGGCATTGCTTTATGTATGCCAGCCTGCATGTGACATTAGTGGTTCCTTTAATATCTCAGTATTATTTGTCTGTGGCATTTTATTCATTCATTTCTCCATTTTTTTCCTAAGCATGAAGAGGCTTCCTGAAGATACTTTTTTACCCTCTCGTCGGTGTTGGAGGTGGAAGTCTGGAAGTCATTTGCAAGCTTTTCCCCAGTTCTCGTCCACAAGGGCAGTCACTGCACAGATACTGAGTAGGGGCTGGTGGGCAGCAAGATGCTTCAGGCATTACTGTGCCTCCTCCCTCCCTCACCACCCATCTTACTCCAGGAAGGAAGCATATTCCCCTTAGCTAAATGAAGTTAGGGTGCAACTTTACACTACTCCACACATTTTATTCTAAGGCAGAAGCAAAAAGGAAGCCTTCACTGGCATGGATGGTAAAGCTTTCTACCTGATCTTTGGAGAGAAGTACCATTCTACAAGGGAAGACTAAGCTAGTTGGAGGCAAGACCCTGGAAAAGGGTATAAAAGACAGGATCTTTGGAAGGCCACCCTTGAGAAAGAGAAAGAACAGTTATTTCCCTGCAACCTGAAGAAAGAACGCTACCATATGTACAAATGTTAAGTCCACATGTCAAGGTGGGCTGCAGGCTGATGGCCTGAATGTCCTCCATTCATCAGGAGGCCAGTGTACTTACCACAAAGTATGGGATGCCCCCTGGGGAGGAGGGTTCAGAATAGAGAAGTAGAGAACAGGCATTGTGGGAGGAGGGAGGACAACCAACCCAGGAAGACACCAGAAATTTCTGAGTGTCCATTATAGAAGGCCCAGCTCAGAAAGGTTTTAAAAGTTACCTTTCATGTTTTCATCAAAAAGTAATCCATGAAAAACTAAAAATAACTCCTAAGCCAAGCCTCTGATATTCAAAGAGCTATGCTTTTCCTAACCCAAACTTACAGAATTATGTTGCTTCAGATACTCCGCAGCATTTTCTTCTGCTCCACCACCAATTTCACCAATCAGTATGATGCCTTCTGTGGCTGAATCATTCAAAAAGATTTCAAGGCAGTCAATAAAATTTGTTCCATTAAATGGATCACCTCCAATGCCTGAGAGGGTAAAACATAGCAACATTAGTTGAAAAGTAAAGGATGAAATATGGAATTTAGATCAAGAAATTCTGTTTCAAATAATTTGTTATTTTGCCTACCTTTTTTTCCAATTGTTTTAAACATATCACATTTGCATTTAATATTTAAAAAAAAATCACAAAATCTTCCTGTTTATAATACTTACAAATGTAAATGGTAGTTTGTTCCTAATCTACAAAAAAGTAACCCTTTTTTTCTAATAGCTCCTTTGCACAAGCCTCTTTCCCTACCACAAAATTATTCCAGACTAACTCTTCAGAAATGATCATTATAAGAAAACATATTTTGTTGCAAACTGATGGTACATCACAGGAAAAGATTAAGCCCTTAGCAAATTTCTTTGCACAAAGAAGTTACTTAATTAAGAATGCTGCACAGAACCCACTCACAAGTTTTAAGGCATGGTGGTATACACTTGTAATCCCAGTTACTCAGGAGGCGGAGAATGGTAGGATCACGGTAGTTCAAGGACAGTCTGGTGGGGGAAAATGTTAGCAAGACCCCCCTCTCAAAATAAACAAGGCAGATGTGAGAGCATACACCTGTAATCTCAACTACATGAAAAGCCTAGGTAGCAGGATCATAGTTCAAGGCTGGCCTCAGGTAAAAAGGTAAGACCACATCTAAAAAAAACAACTAAAGTGAAAAAAGATTGGCTCCAATGGTAGGGCATTTGATTAGCATGCATGAGACCCTGAGTTTAAACCTCAGTACTGCCACAAAAAAAAAAAAAAAAAAACCCACAAGTGTCAGTAAGTGATAGGGCCTTACCAATCCAACTTTGACCCTCTCCTTTAGATGCAGTGTGGTGATGACAGAATTTATACATAGGGACTCTACTATAAGCACGTGACATTAAAGGATGAGTACTTGGATAGGATTAAAGTAAATGTCCCCTGCATACTGGCTGCCAATTTTTTTTTTTTTATAAACTTATGGAGGGCAGGACCAATTTCTTACTTTTCAACGCATCTCTGAAAATGAAGTTAAAGGAGGGAACCAGCATTAATCAAGTGCCAATCATGTCTCGATCCTGTGCTTTATTTAATACAAGTTAGACCTGTCTTTGCTAATTACCCCAACCTCTTAGAAAGATGGGCTAATATTATTACTACACTCCATTTACAGATTACAACCTGAAACTGGAGAGCATGGAATTAGCAATTCTGTTTCAAAACTTGTTCTTCCTCTCCATCACACTAAATTACCTTGTGCTTTGCAAGCAGAAAGGCTCAACTAATGTTTTCAATTATAATTTATGAATTTATGAATCTAGAGTGTAATACAAATACTCCAGGGCTAATTTTAGAATTTTTAATATAAAAGAAGATAGTTTTGAAAGGCTTTTAAAAGGTATTCTAAGGATTTGTAGAAATATTTATAAAAATAAGTAATGTGTCTGGCTTTTGGAAAAAAAAAGAATTATTTCACAATGTAAAAGCTTGTTGGAATTTTTATTTTAAGTGGAAGACACTTCCACTGGCAGTGGCAGAAAGAGAGGTCCTTCTGAGCTTTCCTCAATCTTGACTTTCTGCGCAGTAAGTACAACTTCTGAGCTCAGAAGTATCTCAGAGAGTTGCCTTAAAAATGAGTCAGTGAACGGCAAAGAATTCAGTAAGCATGTAAGACTGAACACAATTACAATAATAGAAGGCCTAACATGAAGAACCATTTCTTTACAGCAAGCAAAGCAAGTGATGTTTTCAGGCACAACGGCTATCTGGGAGCTACATGTCCCAGGATATTTGTTCCTCAACCTAAAAATCAAATCTTGGACCTTGAATCTTGAAAAAAATACAGAAGAGCTTCCCACATAAGCAAATTTTAAGATCTAAACAGCTTTTTAGTAAAATGGTATCAAACCTTTTATAAATAACCAAATTAATGACTGCTATACTCATCTGATGAAGATACCAAACTCCAATAAAATTTGGATGTTAGCAAAAATCCTCACCAACACACAAAGACTGCCCCAATCCAACTTGGGTCGTTTGGTGAACTGCTTCATAAGTCAGGGTACCAGATCTGGACACAATACCTTAAGAGGAAGAGAATCCAACAATATTAGATTGTGTTTACATGATAGATTCTCATATGGTAAACTAAATTACAAATACTTTGAGTATGTAAAATTCATTCCCTAACTGCCATCCAAATCAACAAAGTTAGAGAAAGAAGTACATTGTTAGTTAAGGTTATCTTATGACTACAAAAGCAATACACTTAAATGACCTCTTCTGAGTACCTCTGTAAGGGGATAATGTCAAGGTGAATTTGGTAAGCACTATCCTGCTTAAAGTAGTAGAGCATGACAGACTAACTTTAGGCACCCCAACCATTAAATCACCAAAACATCATCAGTCATATTTGACAATGTCATTCACCTTCCTCACAACTATTTTTCTAAGAATTTTCAAACAATATATAGGCTTCAAAATCAATATGAAGAAAACTGGGCAATAACACATCTAACATCCCTTTCGATTCATCAGGTATCCCACTTAACTATCTTTCATTCAATAGGTGGTGGTGAAAGCACTGAGTCTCAAATCTGGACAGCTGTTCGTAAGGTAGAGGGAGCAGGCGGAGTAGCAGCATATGTATTCTCTTACAGCTCACCATGCTTGCTTGACCTCCTAGAAAAGTAATTTATCCTATGCCACAATCTATGTAATACTTTAGAGCAAAAGATACATAATGGGGGACAGGAGTGGTGACACATGTCTGTAATCCCAGTTACTCTGGAGGCAGAGATCAGAAGGATTGCAGTTCAAAGCCAGCCCAGGCAAAAAGTTACTGAGCTCCCATCTCAACCAACAAGCCAAACATGGTAGTGTGCCCCTGTAATCCCAACAATGGGAGGCATAGGTAGGAGGATCATGATCTAAGGCCATGAAGGGAAGGGGAGAATCACAAGACTTTACCTGAAAAATCACTAAAGCAAAAAGTGCGGGAGGTGTAGCCCAAGTGGTAGAGCACTTGCCTAGCAAGTGCAGGCCCTGATTCAAAATCCCAGTAACACACACACATACACACAGATACATAATGCATGGATCCCTAATTTGAACAGATCGAAAAGTACTAATAAATAACTTCAGTCATGAGAATGTATTAAATTTTTAAAAATTAAAATTAAATATACTTTATATGGGCTAAAATCAGAGCATTGACTCTGAAGTAATTCTTTAATTCCAGCATGTCCCTGGGTTTGCCTCCCTTAAACTTCTGCTTTGGAGCACCTATTAGGAACTCGGAAGTTTATTTTCTAACAGTATGATAGAATTCTTGTCACACAAAAACAAAAACCACAACCATCAGCTACCTCAGCTTCAAGGATGCATGTTCACATTATTAGGCAAAGTGTTGTGTCACTATTGTCACTAAAGACTTGGGACAAAGTGTGTTATCTGTGCATACATGGCCATCTCACTGTGAGCTTGGGCACACATAAACAGTTTCTCCACATCAAGGGGACAAATTGAAAGAGCATGCACTTGTCTTGGTCACTGCTAGACAGTACCAACAGCATACTACCAGGTTGTTCTTTTGGATAAATTCCACCAGATGGTAACAGCTACATCACTCCCCAACAATGCCTTGCTTCAATTCGTATGGAATTCTGTGCCAACTTCCCAGCCCAGCATGGGCATGGCCTACCTCCTCAGATTTATCTCATTATTTCCTTATTCTAGGGAACTGGGTTATTCCTCAGTTATACTTCATGCTTTCCTATTTGTTATGCTTAAAAAATTAAACACTCACTTGCATCATATGACAAAAATTCTACCCATCCTTTGAGGTCTACATCAAAAGCTTAAACATTGCTTTCTCTTAGAGGTCTTTCCTGATCATCCCCAATCAGGAAGGAAATGGTATCTCTTTCTCTAAATCTCCTCAGTGTTTTTATTTTTTCTATTTTTTTTAACACTGAGACATAGAGACATGTTATGTCTTACCTACCACAATGAAACTTTTAAGTATTTGGGGGATAGAAGCAACCTCCTTCACAGATGGTTCACTATTAACCCCAATGTTACAATAAGGTACAGTAAGAGGGCACACCTCATAATCAACTGCCCTTCCTCTTGAGGCCGGTCCTTTTTCCAGGCAGGATCATAAAGAGAATACTTAATGGTCTATAGTGAAAAAACCTATTTTTTTCCCAGTGTTATAGTAAATATTACAAAGTATTAGCAGCAGCCATTCAAAGCAGACCAAAGAATATAAACAATATTCAAACATATATAAAAGCATTGGTGACTCTGTACATTAGGTATCACTGGAACTAAGATGGCCTACGGAGTTCCTTATAACCTCTCTATGAGAACGTACCACGTGCCCTACTGGCAGTAGGGTTGACAGTTCTAAGGAACATTAATAATAAAGAAAACTCATGACCTTTAACCCAATTCTACAAACTACACAATCAACATTCACCCACAATGATGAATATTTAATATTAAGTCATGGTTTCAGAGGAAAAACTATAAGCATCTATTATTGTGGAGAAATAGTTTATCTTAGAGTTAGCTACAAAGAGTCTAGCTTTCAAAGGCATAACTTTGAAATATCAATTTGGCCATTTTCTTAAGGAACTAACCAAGCAGCAGTACAATTTCCCAAAACACTTTGAGAACATTTGTGATACCCAAGAGAAGTAAGTAATTCTTGGACAGGACACACAGACACTAACAATAAAAATACACCACATATCTGACAAAGGTTTTATATACAAAATATTCATAGAGTCACTATAATCAACAATAAAAAGACAACCCAATAAAAAATAACAAGCAAAAACTTAAACAATACTTCACAGAAGAGGGTATAATAAATGATGTATAAACACATAAAAAGTGATCTACATCATAATCATCAGGGACACTCAAAAACAATGATACTACTTTACTCCCCAATATAACAAATAAATTAAAAGACTAACAATACTAAATGTTTGTGAAGATGTGAAACAACTGTAACTCTCATTCATTGATAGTAAAAATGAAAAATGATACAGCCACTTCACAAAACTATTTGACAATTTCTTAAGAAGTTGAACATAGCCAAGTGTGATGACACATGCCTGTGATCCCACTTACATAGGAAACCTAGGTAGAATTAAGGTCTGAAGCCAGCCCCAGGCAAAGATGTGAGACCCTATTCAAAAAGTAACTAGAGCAAAAAAAGGGCTCAAAGACTCAAGCATGAGTCCTTGAGTTCAAATCCCAATACAAAAAAAAAAAAAAAAAGTTGAATGTTCTCAACTGTATGACTTAGCAATTCCATTCCTAGGTATTTTGTCCAAGAGAAATGAAAATGTGCCCATAAAAAAAGGCCTACACAAGAATGTTCATTTTTAGCCTTGTTCTTACAGCTCAAATTGAAATAACCCAAATGTTCATTATGAAAGAATGGATAAACAAACTAAAGCCACAGAACAGACTACTTAGCAAAAGCATGATATTAATTCTTGATACATGCAACCACATGGAAGAGTCCACAGAGTGCCAAGCAGGCAACAAATCTTTAATCCCCACCCCACTCCCACAACAAAATCTTCACTGATTCTATAGCATTACAACTGTTTCTCAAATAAACCCATTTTGAATAACAAATCAATTCACTATAAAACTCCCCTAGTAAATTCTACTAAGGTTAAATTAATTAAAATAAATTTGACTTGCAAAGTCAGAAATTCTCTGTGAATTTTGAGAATTTGGGGCGAGTAATTTTTTTTTTTTATCTGTAAGAAAGTAACAAACATGCTCACCAATTCTTCCTTTCTTGTGAATATGGCCAGGCATGATGCCAATTTTGCATTCTCCAGGCTGAAAGAAAAAAGTGAAATTATAACTGATAGGTCACACACACAAATGCACTTGGGCTAATTCAATGCTGTTTAGCATTATGAGAGGCTAACATTGGGCTTCTTTTTAATTTTGCACTCACATTGATGACTCCAGGGCAGTTTGGCCCAATTAGCCTCGTCTTTCCCTGGCGTGTCAATTTGTGCTTGACCCGTACCATGTCCTGCTGGGGAATACCTTCAGTAATGCACACAACCAAGGGAATTTCTGCCTCAATAGCTTCATTGATGGCGGCAGCAGCAAAAGGAGGAGGGACATAAATCATAGAAGCTGTCGCTCCTGTCTGCTCTTTTGCCTGAAACAGACCATAAAGATAAAACAAATTCAATACCAAGATTTTAGTGATATCTAGGAGTCAGGAAAGGATACCACCAGGAGACATAGGATGTCTTCATTCTTTCCATTCTCCAGTTCAACACTGTCAGAAAAAGAGTACAGAATCAAGAATACCCTCTTCTCTGCTCCCTTTGAATGCCACAGGTTATTAAAATGTTCTATGACATCTCGCTTCTTCAAGTAATGCCATGTCAGCAAAACTACAAGCACTGCCTGACTTGCATTTGTGTCCCATCATGCCTGAGGCTAGGCTCAGTTTTTTTGTTCTTCTCCAGAGACATGACCACCAAGACATTGTATCACCTGTTCAGTACCAAATAAAGACAAGTGAGCACCCAAGTGCTCAGAACTTGGTTCTCAAACATCTGTTTTAAAATATATTATGTTGCCTGGAAGTAAAGGGGATGGGGGGAGAAAGGGAAGGGGGTAGGGGACAGGGGGGAGAGATGGCCCAAACAATGTATATACATATGAATAAATGAATAAACAATAAAATAATAAAATGTTATGTTTGGCAAATGTTACCAAGAGACAATAAAAGTGCTTTTTCTTTCTTTTAGGCAGGGTCTCACTATGTAGCCCAGGCTGTCCTTGAACTTGCAATCCTCCTGCCTGAGCCTCTTCAGAGCTGGGATTACAGACATGCACTACCACCCCTCCAGGATGGTATATACCCTCCAGGTAAGTGGAATTTTCTTACCTGATTTTTCTTACTTTGAATGCATGGTTTTTAGACATAAACAAATCAAGCAAAAATGCACATGCAAAAATAGCTATAGAATAAGAATGTGGGTCAAACGGGCATTAAATTTTAATTCTATCACCCTTCACAATGTAGAACACTTGAGACCATCAACTTGACCACTGCTCTTCCTGTGAACATGAGCTTGGCCCACACTTGCCCTTTACAGACTCTGTCTATATCGATCAGTACAAATATAGCCTTCTACCCACCTCTCTGTGAGGCCATGTCTCTCCTACTATAATGAAGCTCCTTGAAGATAGAGACTCTTAATGATCTCTGACTCTCCAAGAACAGCAGCACACATCCTGTGATAGGCCCTGTGAAAGGGCTCTGTACAGGGCTCAGTTAAGGCTTCACCACAATCCTGAATCTTAGCATCCCCACTTTACAAATCAGGAAGATGCTGAGGCCAAGATACATTGAACAACTGCACAAGTCACACAGCTAGGAAGTAGCAGAGCCAAGATTTAATCCTGAGTATGTCTGTTTCCAAAGTGTCTGTTCATTTTAGTACAGCAGGGTAAATGTCAAAAATGTCACTTAATCAAGACAGAAATCAAAACCTTTAGAGGGCTGGCAAAGTGGCTCAAGTGGTAGAACGCCTGCCTAGCAAGTGTGAGGCCCTGAGTGCAAAACTCCAATACCACCAAAAAATCCTTTGAAAGACTGTGCTGTGAGATTTTACAATAGTCTGAATACTAAGCTCAGAACATACAGTACAACTAGAAGGGTCAAAATTAAAAGAAAGTGCTTTCAAGAATCAGCTCTGAATGATTTCCCACATTCCTAGAGACTGAGGAGCTTTACCACATTTCTAATAAACAGCGTCATCTTGACAGTGACAGAAAAACAGAGTCGAAGGACACTGACAGATGGTCCACAAATGATATCAGGGTTAGAAATAATTTTTAAAAGCTGTGTTCAAGATGATGATGGTGGTGAAGACAAAAGAAACAAATTGAAGTCAGAACCAAAAGATCATGGGCATGTTGTATTTTATTGAAAAATGTATCTCACAGTTCTCACCTCTTACAGCTACAAATATTGCCAGAGCTAGACTGTGACAACTATTATGTACTGCAAAGTCATTCTGAATGAAAGGTATCATTCCTACTCATTCAGAAAATTCTTTGCAAGAGTTAAATAAGAAATAAACAGTATCTGTCAAAGGACTTGTAACAATATTCCAAATACTATGAATAATAAGTGAACTGCTTAGCAATAAAACTTTCTTTTAAAAAAGTAGTAAATAAATAAAATGGCTCATGACAAAAGAAAAGTCTACCAAGACATTTTCAGGTCATACAGTCAGGCATACTAAAAGGGTTTAAAAAAAAAAACTTTAAAGACTTTAAATGACTCCTCTACAGAACCTATGATAGTTTTAAAATATAGCACTAAAAACAGATACATATAGTAAATCCTATCAAAGTTTCAAGTAAAATAAAAAATCTAAATCTAAAAGACATTTGGGGGTTTTTTTCCTGTATTTTAGGATTAAAGGTAAAATAAACCTCAATTTGGGTAGTATTCAACATGAGATTAGGTATATAAATTTGCACTTAAAAAATGCAATACTTTGACTGGAGGAGTAGCTCAGGTGGTAGAGCGCCTGCTTTGCAAGTGCAAAGCCCTGAGTTCAAACCCCAGTCCTGCCAAAAAAAAAAAAAATGCAATACTTTAAGGTATACTTTTAAAGTACAGTTAAGAAGAAGGGAAGGGTACGTTTAGGACTGACCAATCTATCAATTTTAAGTACTAAATTTAATCCCTACATTTTTTTTAAATTAAATAACCCAAGAATTTGTACTATAGTTTCTTTTAAAGACTATTATTTTTATATAAATTCATCTAAGAGTAGAAAGAGAATGAAAAAATGTTCACTGAGCTTCAATTAGCTCAGTGAATAGGCAAATCTAAGATGTAGAAAACACTATGAGACTTTACTTACCTTCATAGCATCTTATTTTACAATATGCACATACTGGTTTTACAACAAAGACCTCAAGTTTAATTTAAAAATCACTTTTAAAGTATTACTAAGAAATAAGCAATCTGAAGAAGAAAGGATGACCTTGTCACTTTGACCCATAATTTGGTTTGTTTGCACAGACCAAACTACTTATTTTGAGTCACTCTAACTCTGCCACTTATCAGCTGTAAGACCACAAGCAAGATCCTTGGCCTCTTTGCATTTGTAGTATACTTGGTTTTAAAACAGGGATGATAATAGCACCTACCTCAGAGGGTTGTGGTGAAGCCTGAATGGGGCAATGTGCATGAAGCACCTAGCACAGCACCTGCCCTCAGTCCATACTCAGAAAGAGTTGGGGTGGCTGCTGACATATGTACTACTACCATCCTAGAAGAAAGGCAAGCAAAGGATAATAAGCCAGGTAGAACCCAGAGCTCTACCCAAAGAACGGTTCCTCTTCCCCTGCTTCTCTTTTCTTGCCAAACTCAGGTACCATTAATTACCTCTTTCACGGTATTAAAGACTGGTAAGCCCAGATGCATCTTGCCTCCTTTCCCTGGAGTGGTTCCTCCAACAAGTTTGGTGCCATAATCCAATGCCTGCTGGCTATGAAAGGTGCCCTAAGGGGAAAAAGCACAAAAACAATGAAGAGACAAAAATGGAAAGCCTACAGAGAAACAAAGGTAATTTATAATTTCCAAAAAGAAAATCAAATTCATAAATATCCAAATAACACATATTTAGGAAGCTCATCAAGTTACTAAATATAGCTGTCCATCTTGAAATAAAGATGGCTTTTGCAAAGTCAAAATAGCTATTTTTTTTAATTTTTATTTTTTTATTATTCATATGTGCATACAATGCTTGGGTCATTTCTCCCCCCCGCCCCACCCCCTCCCTTACCACCCACTCCGCCCCCTCCCTCTCCCCCTCACCCCCTCGTTTTTTAAATGCCATTTTTTATTTCCTGTTTTCAACTTGGTTGAAACACCCCAGTGTGTACTAAAAGAACATCTCCTTTACACTAGTCCTCATTTCCTCATGTCCTCACATTATACTTTATCCAATTTCAAATCAATGGTTGATCATTATACAACAATCTTAGCGCTCTCTCTCTCAGTAAAAATTATACATATGGTAAAACCACAACTTGGTTAAATCTGACTTTCCACCTACTCTAAGACTGCACATGTATAGCCATACAGTGGCTAGAGAAAAAAACAAAACTATGCTAACTGGTCTCACTATAAACCAAGGATCAGTAACTCTTAAATGAGTCCTTAAAACTGCCCAGCCAACGTGCTATATTTCTCTATCCATTCACTGTCATTCCTCAACCACAGCATTGCTGGCATTTTGGATACAAGTCTATGTGGGAGGTCATCCTGTATTTTGCTGGATATATACCAGTATGCCTAGCCTCTTCCCTCCAGATACCAATTCTACACCCTTCCCCCAACCCATTCAGTTGTATGTAACAACCAAAAAAGGCTCCAGGGATCTAGAAAGATTTTTTGACTAGCTTATGGGGCTCTGCTTCTCTTAGTTTTCCTATTTTCTTTTTCTCTCCTTAGACTTCTCTTATCCATCTAAATTTGTGACCTTGGTAATGCCATCCTTATCATGGTAATAAATAATACCCATATTGCAACCCCTGCATACATACACTTCACATACCTCATCAAGACCTTTGCCTTGCTCTCCACACTCACATTGCCTCCCTAACCTCCACTTGGAGAATTAGTGGGCATCTCAAACTTAACATGCCCCAAACTGAGGCCCTGATTAATTCCCTCCTCACGCTATCCCATCTCAGTTAATAACCACTCCACTCCCTGCCAATGTTCACAGCAAATGTAATGAAGTCATCCTGAATTCTTCTCTCTTATATCCAATATCAGATCCACGAGTAACTCTTACTGCTCTATCTTCAAAACATAACCAACAACACAAACACAGACACACACACACATACACACACACACACACACACCCCCATCTATTGCTAGTTACCACCTTGGTGTAAGTCATCTCAACTCATGGCAGACTATTGCCCTTGTCCTCTTTGAATCCATTCTCCAAGGCCCCTACAGTGATCCTGCTAAAAGATCATATCACCTCTCTGCTCAAACCTTCTAATCATTTTCCGTATCACAGTGAAAGCCAAATTCCTAATACAACCTGTCCCCTCAAATCAGAACCCCATACCTGCCTGCCTTTACTTACTATTCTCCACTGCTTATTTCACTCCACTCACACTGGCCTTGCAGCATGTATACATGGAGGTGCATGATTGCCTGATGGCCTTGCTGTGCCCTCTGCATGAAATACCCTTCCTTTCCAAATCCACATGGTTTTCCTTTACATCTCTTTTAGATCTTGAATCAGAGGTAGAACTTACACTGACTACCTGAAATAAAATACCCTTCTCTCTCACCCAATCACGTAACTCCATACATAATACACACAACTCCTCCTTTCTGTGGTTTTTCCCATAGCAACTATACTTTCTAACATATCACATAATTTACTCATGAATTTTGTTGTTTCTCCTTTCCACCTAAAAGGTAAATTGTATGAAGACAGTGACTTCTAACTACTTTGTTCATTGCAATATGACACGTAAATCAACACATTTTATACAGCAGGCACTCAATAAATAGTTGTTGAAAAATAAACGAATTCATGCAATCATTCTCCAAGGAACCTAAAAAATGTTGACACAATTACTAAGTTATTAATTACTTTAAGCATAAAAACTGAGCCCTCAAAGACTTCAAAAATTTTTTGATTCAACTTCTTTTTTAAAGTAGGAAACTTGGCCCCAAGTATGTTAAATGATTTAGAGCTAGCAAGTTTTAGAAAGAACCACAGGCCACTGGTTTCTTAAAACAGTGCTATTCAAAGTATGGTCTGCAGACTTGCTAGAGTGCAGTGACATGACAGCAAAATGAAAGGAAAAGAAAATTATTCAAAAATGAAAGGAAGTAAGGGCGAGAAGTAGGGAATTTAAAACCTAATTTTAAAAAGAGAGAATGTAAACAGCAGTGTGATAATGCTACTAGTTTTAGTGTATTTTACAAAGTATTGATCTATATTATATCACAAATTAAAATCAAGAACCCTAACTGGTCTTTCACTCCAGACAGTTTGAAGAAGCACCACCAATGACTACACTACCAGGCAAATTCAATGAACCAATTGTTTTAGAATTCATAGGGCACTAAACAGAGATAACAGTTCCAAAATAAGCTTATTTTCCTTCCTTTTCAAATTATCACTAGTTAAGAATAAAAAAAGTTTACCAGCTCATAACAGCTAGTAAAAGAAATCAGTTGGCACTCATTAAAAATGTGCTTTACTGGAAATCTACTCAAAAAAGACAACATTCCTCATTCATATGTGAAACAATGTATACACTAAGAAAAGAACTGAGACAAACTGCAGGTGTCCTGCAGAGGTAAGCTCTAAATTTCAGACCTTATCATTACTTTTATAGTAACAGACTCTGAGTCAATAAATCTAAAGCAGGCAATTAAGGCCTCAATTACTTAAAAAGCAAAACAGGAAGTGAATGAAAAACACACTAATTGCAGGTAACTAAAAGATAACAACCTTGAAACCAACCTTTGATTAAAATATTTAGGCCAATTATCACCCAATTTAGAAAGCAGTTAATTCCAAATAGTTCTTATACCACGGACAATGATTCTTACAAAAATGCTCATAAAATGTTGTATTAATAAACATATGTGAAAAATTTGGGTAATCAAGCATTTGATTACATGCTAATATTTCTATGTACAAAAAACAGACTGAATCTAATTTTAATTGGAATGGGGATGACAGAATACACTTCAATCTTACATGAGCATCTACCTTCCTTAGAATGTCTATATGTGGAGGTGATAGCCATAAAATGTATGACTAATTAGGTATCGCCCTCTAGACCAAAGGTTGGTAAACTATGGTCTGTGAAATTTGCAAATTAAATTTTATGTACCCATGCCAGTATACAGTTCCATACTATAAATGCCATTAAGATACACATTATATGCCAGGAGTTGGTGGCTCACATCTGTAATCCTGGCTACTTGGGAGGCTGAGATCCAAAGAATCAAGGTTTGAAGGCCAACACAGGTAAACAGTTCATGAGACCCAGTCTCCAAAATGACCACAGCAAAAGGACTGGAGGTAAGGTTCAAGTGGAAGAGCACCTGCTTTACAAGCATGAAGTCCTGCGTTCAAACCCCAGACCCACCAAAAAAAAAAAAAAGATACACATACATACATAAGCATAAAATACTTGTTTTTAAATAAGACATAGAGACCCCAGAAATAGAAAAACAAAAAGTTACTGCTTTACTCCCCAAGATCTTCTTTATTCAAAACCACAATTCATAGCTGTTTCTAAATTAAAGAAGAAAAGCTAAAATTCATCATTTCATTCCTCAGAAACAAAAGTGGGGTATATGTAGTTTTCATCTGGAAGGTTACATGTAAACTAAAGAGAAGGAATTCTTGGTGAGTCAAATGCTATGGAAGAAGGAAGAGTCTTATGCTGCATTTCATTGTATATCACATCATAGATATATTTAAACTTATGCAAATTCTATGATAGAAGTAGGAGAGAAGCTAGGTGTCAGTGGCTCACACCTGTAATCCTAGCTACTTGGGCAGCTGAGATTTAGAGGATCACAGTTGGAGGCCACCCCAGGCAAAATGTTCTCAAGACCCCTATCTCAATCAATAGCTGGGCACAATGATACATGCCTATCATCTCAAGCCAAATGGAAGCTTTAATCATGATGATCACAGTTCCAAATCAGCCAGAGCAAAAAAGTTGTGAGAAACCCCACCTAAATGAAATAAAATCTGGGGCATGGTGGAGCATGACTGGATCACAGTCCAGGCTGGCCTAAGCAAAAAGTGAGACTCTATCTCTAAGATAACCAGAGCAAAAAAGGGCTGGAGGCATGGCTCAAGCACTAGAGCACCAGACTAGCAAGCTTGAAGTCCTGAGTTCAAACTCCAGTACTGCCAAAAGAAGTAAGAGAAAGAGAGAGTCTAGGAGGGAATGAGACCCAATTAAAATACTTAAGGCAATTCTGCCTTCTGGTCTCTTTGAAGACCATTTGCCCCAGAGAGCATATAAGATGGGAAAAGTCATTGTGTTGGTTCCTTTGCCTGTGTCAGTTCCCATGAGCCTCTCTGGCTCTGTAAATTTCTCCACACTGAATATGGATTCCATTAACAATGAGTATTTCTTTGTACAAGATCTAGGACACAAGCAATTTTTTTAAATCAGAGGTCAAAGAAACAATGATCTGTCCCAATATTGAAGGAAAACCAGTAGTCTTATGCTTGCTGAAAAACAGTAGGTAGATCTTCAACATAGTACACTCCCATGCATTTTCAAGGTAAGTTTAGACACAATTTTCATCTTACAGGGTAACTATAGCACCTAACCTCTTCCTAAGATACAATGCCACTTCTGAACATATGTCATTAAAAGTAGAAAACAGCTAATTTTTTATACCTTAATCTATGCTTTAAATAAAAATCTAGATACACATACCTGCTTACCAGTAAAACCCTGGCAAATAACCTTTGTATTTTTGTCAACATAGAGATGTGTCCGAGAAGCTGTGTAGGAACAATGCCGAATTCCATTCTGTTGCACTGAGAAGTAAAGAAAATATAACACATTACAATTTTTCCAAACTTTTAAACCATGATTTCAACTTGGTGATAAAAAAAACAATCCTCTAATATGAACACTATACCATGAACATGGCAAATTTCAATGTCACTTTTTAAATGAGACACACAGACTATAGAAACAAATTAGAAAAACAAAAAAGACTCTGCTCTATTCTCCAGGATCTTTTTTGTTGAGAACCACAATTTGTAGCTTTTTCTGAACTGAGAAAAAAAAGCTGAATTTTATCACTTCCATTCCTCAGAAAAGAAGCTAGGATTCAAAGATAAATGGTTCAAATTAAACCCAGGGACTGAATACTAGGTATCATCACTGTTAGTGATGTTTACAAAGCTATCACATATGTTCCCTACTTGGTTCAACTTTTTTAAGCCCAATACCTATAAACAACAGGTGAGCTAAGAGGCATACATTCTCAGGGATGTAAGTAAGAACTACTCTGCAGTCATTACCAAACATTAACACTATAGTAAGCATTAAGTAATTGTATAAAATCTGCCTAAAATATAATCCAAAATCACTTACTTTGATCTCTCCTGATATAGATTTAAGAACTCACATATAAATGAAATAGAGAAAAATAAAATGAATAGGAAAGTAGAGAGAGGGAGAAACTTGAAAAAAATTACGTATTTTTAACAGTCTCCTTCAAGGAAAATTGAGAAATCTTAGTAGTTACTACACTTTTTCTATTTCAAAAATCAGTAGGAAAAAGAACACATGACTTACAATTGCAGGCTACCTTCTAAACTTGTAGACCATCAATCTGCATTCTCTAATGGCCCATCCCTAGCCTCTTCAAAGTAGGCAGGCCCTCTACCTACAACTGAGTAGGCCATGCAGGGTAGCTCCAGAAACATAAACACGCACCTCACGTATTTCACCAGGGCCCACCTCATGCTTTCTGCCGTCAGTCTCCTTGAATCACTACCTCCTGCCTCCTTAAACCTTCACACCTCAAGTGCCACAATTGAAGGAGCATCAATATCTGCTTCTGGTATCATCCTTTAGGGAAGAGAAAAGCCCTAATTTTGCCCTGACCATCCAGGACAGGAGCTTCTATGTGCACACAGAACTGCTGGCTAACAGACAGCTGCATTCTTGGACCAGACTATGCTGAACAAGAGGCCTTAAAGGAGCTCTGCAACCAGGTCCGAGCACAGCAGGCACAACTAAGCACCAGTAGATACCACAAGGATTTAAGACTGAGAGACTACCCCCATTGAGCTGTACAGTAGACCATCTAGCCATTCTTGCACTTAGCTAACAGACAAACTGATGATAAAGGCCATAAACAAGAAACACAACTAATGACAAATGGCAAATCAACATATGATGAGATGTTGACCTTTACTAATAACAAGAAAATTAGCATTCATTAAAGATTAGGACAGCAGGAAGGCCTGAAACTGGCCACCAGGAATATCCTGATGGTAAATGCTACAGCCGCCAAATCCTGGGTCACCTCTAAGGGATGTGCTAGCATCACCTTCTCTTTAAGTTCTTAGAAACTGGCCAGCCCAATCTTGGTACTGTGTCCCAGCAGCAACTGAGAACATTGTCTCAGAAATCAGTCAGGTCTGAACTAGGGTTTATGCTCTGCTGCTTGCCAGGGATGTGACCCAGGGCATATCTTTTGATCTCCCTTAGTCTTCCCATCTGTAAATGGAGTAACAGTTACCCACAAGGAGTCTGTGATGTTAGTATGATAATGTCTATAGACTGGGTATCAAAGTGGCTGGTATACTTCTCAAATCCTACATAAGCACAAAGGTAAATCTTTTCCTAAAAACAGAAAATATGTCATTCATATTTCCAACCAAAAATGTTTTATGTCCTCATGCACATTCTATATTCTATATAGCATGCACAAATATACTTATAAGTTTTAATATAGGAAATATGTATAAAGGTACAGCCTCACTGTAAAAAGGATAATAGGTACCTCATTGGCTGATATAAGAATTAAATGACTCAATAATATAAACAGCATGTAAAACAACACCTAGGGTACAATAAGTCCTATATCACTAATGGCTATTTTATTATCATTATTGATGCAGAATGAGCAGACCAGACTGCTTTGAAATGTTCATTGTGGCAGGCTATCTACCAGGTGCTATGGATTCAAGAGTGAATGAGACAGACTTGGGCCTTACCCACATAAAGCTTCCTCCTCTGTAGGAGAGCTAAACATTAAACAAAAAAACACAAAACTACAGAAGTACAAACTGAAATAAAGACGCTAAAGGAAAGTGCCTGAATAACCTGAGAGAAATGAGCTTTCAATGGGGGTGATAGGTTTGTATCAGTCAGCAGCAAACTAAGTCCTGTTCCTCATAGATAACAACCATACCATTTATAAGATGGTTGACAGGATTAATGCTGCAATCCATGGCCAAAGAACACCTCCTCAGGTGGGACTCAAACCATGTTCTTGCATGACTTGTAATATGCTCCAATAATCTGAGACTGTTCATGAAAATACTCCTCCAACTTACCATTTAAACTATGCCTGTTATTCATTTGTGTATATATTCATGAATTTTAAAAAGGTACACTTTCCATTTCTATTGCAATAACAAAACACCTGAGGCTAGTTGCTTATAAAGAAGAGTTGGGGGTGTTTTTGTTTTGTTTTGTTTTTTTGGGCAGTAAGAACAGAGGATTAAACTTAGGGCCTCATGCTTGTTAGGCAAGCACTCTACCATATGTGTAACACCCTCAGTTCAAGAAAAAGGGTTTATTTAGTTCAAAGTTTTGGAGGCTGAAAGACTAAACAGATGGGCAGCCTCCTGTTCAGCCTCTGGTAAGGGCCCCCTGACTGCAGTGAAACATTTCAGAGAAGCAGGAAGGGAAACAACCCCATGCAGAAAGAACCAAGCACATGGGGTAGCACTGCTTCATAACAACCCACTTTCACAAAAACTCACTCCAGGAGATCAACATTAATCTTTTTCTGAAGGTAGTGTGCCCCACTGACCTAACTACCTTCAACTAGGCACCACCTCTTAAAAGTTCTACTATCTTAACACTCTGACACACTAGGGACCAAGTTCCCTGGACATGAACTCTTGGGGGACACTCAAACACATCCAAACCACAGCATTAACTGTATCTACTATGTATAAGCACTATATAAGCTGTTGTGGCCACCAACTATAGTACCTTACAATACAGTAGTTTAGCAGCCACTTATCCCAAATCCCAAACAACTTGCTATTCAAATGCAAAATTATATATTCACTTAATATTGACAAACATATTCACTTACTGTTAACTTAGTTGGTTTAAGTACCATATTTCATCAAATCTAAAACACCATTGGTTTTTCAGAAGTACTAAGTCTAGTAAGAGAAAAAATGCTGCTAGTTTTTCTAAGCGATCATACATTATTAGACATATCCCAATTTTAGAAATGTTATATTTTAAAAAGTAGGCCTCAGGCAACAAAATGCCTGGCTTTCGGTGAAATGAAGGTACTCTCCTTTACTTAAGAGAAATTATTTTGACATCCTATTTCTATGAAGCAAATTTGAGGTCAGAACATCAAATCATTCTCCACGGCTGTACTGGTACATTTGGATCTAGTCTATTTTATATTTCTGAAATGAAGATTTGGCTTTTAGATGGAAATAGCAATAAATACTAGAATCAGAAGCATCACTACTGAACATCTCCTTTTACAAATTACACTTTCAAGTGCATCCCTGATTCTAAAAACAGGTCTATGAAAAAGGCTCAGCAAACCACACAGACTGACAAAAACATCAGAACTTCAAAAAAGAAGGCTCAAGCTATCACAAGGCTCACACTGGTGGAAAAGGTAATACATAGTGTCAGAAGACGTGGATCTCAGTACTCCTTTAGATACTGGCTAGGAAAATTTCTGGGTTTATTTCCTTACTTGCCAAACAAAGGTGTGGGACTAGTTGAATTGTAATATCCACTTTGTCATTAAATACCATAATTCTGATGTTTGAAAACACCTGTTCTTGCTCCCTATTTATTCTAAAAGACTCAGTTTATAGGAACTCCTGACTTTAATTATATTTTAAAAGACCTTGCACTGCTTTATACTTCTTATAAAGTTTCTTTTAAAATTCTCATGGAGAAATATTTCTCATTTTTCATCTTATTTTTCCTCCCCACTTCAACTGGATTCTTCCCTTTCTTTTACAAGCTATGTAACTGGGAGATCAAATACAGCTCAGGAATTTCTAAACATTCTAAGCTACCCCTCAAATAGTGCTCTGGAAGGCCATCTATGAATGTTTGGTTTGGGCTTTTTTTTTTTTTTAACTCAAACCAATATTGTAATACTATATTTGCAGTATAAAATGTACCACCAACAGAAATTTAAGAGAACACAGGTGACAAAATTCCCTAGACCCTAGCATCTCTAATTCTTTTAACCTCAGAATCTAAATAATTGTGACCACCTAAAAAAATGGTTTGCAAGATGATGCTGTGACTGCTTTCCTACTGAAGCAAAAATGGGCTTAGAATGTAGCATGTGAAAGAGAATTTAGAGTTTTGCTAACTTAGAGGTTTTAATACATTAAACAGCATCTTCTGTAACTTCAGTTCTAATATGGAAGATATCTTGGTTTAGATCTTAGATCTCCCAGAGCCTTATTAACATGTGGATCACATGACTTAGATAAAGAAGACCATTCCAGCAAGAGAAAGCTAACCTGAAGTCTTGGTGTCTTAGAAAAAAAGAATTTCAGTTTTATGGGAAGCATTGTTGAGCTTGAATTAGAGATTCAGATCTTTTAGATACTCTTTCTTTCTTCTCTAGATTCTTCTATTAAGACACTAGAACAGTGCTGGAAGTGTGTCTCAATTGGTAGGCCCTTAAGCTAGTCCAGGGCCCTGAGTTCAAACTCCAGTACTACCAAAAACAAAAAAAGCAAGCAGGAGGCCGAGTTCAAATCCACTCCCACCCCCCACCCCAAGGGAAAAAAAATAGCCAAGACAGCAGATCTACAGGAGGCTACGATCTTTCAGAATCTCGGACCAGCAGAAAAGAAAGAAGTCAGCATATAGGTGGGCAACTCTTTCCTGGGCTTTCCCACCACAGTGACTGTGCTGCACATCTGGCCTTTTACATCTTAACCCACAACCTACTTAGATAAAACTGGATTAGACCCATACCCAATACTACCTCATTTCTGGTGTTCAAATACTGCTGTCCAGAATGATTACTGAGTACAACTAATCCTTTTTTTTTTTCCTTCTGCCTACAATACACTCACTTGTCCTTTAAATTTTCAGTAAGAATCTCTACAAAACTTTCCCAAATAAACCCAACTCTTTCCTATTTGGCAAAGTTATCTGGCCAGACCTTTGTCCTAAAGCAACTTGGTAACTAAGTGTAGCTACTGAGTCCACACTCATCACTGAATTTTTCTCAAGAAAGGAATTAAGTCCCATCCACTACTTGATACAAGCAGAATTAGAAGCAAAGTGAAAACAAAGAAGAGAGGATAAAACTAACGTCTATTACATGTGATTCATTTATTCTGTACAATGAACCCAGATCATTTCTAAGAAGCACATTTTTTTCACTCAACATCTCTTAAATCAGGATGTATCTGACCACCAATCACGAGTCACAATTTTAATTAGCAATCGTTTCCATTGTTGGTGGCAACTAAAATAAAGGTGCAGCTTACAAGTGCTGATACCTAAGATTCACTAAAATTAAAATACGGTATTTTCATGTGACTCGAATCATTAGTTGAGAAATCGATTAAGAAAAAAGAACAGTGTTTTTACACATTGTAAAGTGATTAGCCAGACTTCAATCCTGATGTGACTGATTCCGAAGTTTCTTCCTACTATAACCTGCGTAAGAAACCCAGAGACTTTGAACGTAGTTAGAATTTTCAAAATCAGCATTACTTAAAAACTAGCAACCTTGGATGGTAAGGTTTCAGGAGTGAAGTGTTCACACCGCCTGATGGAGACACTACACGTAAATTGGGTAAGGTCCCGGCCCAACCTAAGTTTCTAGGAGTCTACGGGCTGTGCTGATTCTAGCCTTTTGGTTGACCCTACAAAGCCCCAAGAAACGGTTCCAAGTGTACCTTCTGTACAAGGTACAACTTCTTCACCAATTTTACTACCGAGACACCCTTCCCCTACCTATGAAACCCACTCTCCCTCTCCCTCACAAACTGGACTCATCCTAGACCTCTCCAAGTAAGGGCCAGGCTAGGCCACCCCCGGCCCCCGCCATTCGTCACTACGGGGCACGAACGAGTCCCGGGTCTGCTGGGTCCCTACACCCCAATCCTGGTTCAGCCACCCCCACGTCCCCATCTGTTAGCAGCCCGCGTATCCCACAAACCTCCCCCCACCTGGGAGAGCTCCCACTTGGGGTCAGGGCCCCGCGGCTCCCCCGCCCCAGCCGAGGTCCCGCCCTGGAGGGCCCAGCAGCGGCCTGCACCAGGGCGTTGGGTCCAACGGGCCCAGAAACCTGCAGAAACCAGAAAGAAAAAAGTCCCCGGCCGACTCACGGAGGAAGGTGCGTGACAGAAAGCGGGCAGCGGCAAGGCCGCTGCTGCCGGAGACCATGGTTACTGTGGCAGCTGCAGCGGCTAAGACTGCGGTCACCCCAATGACACTCCCAGGCCCCCGGGGACCTAGCAGGTTCCGAGGCACGAGCAGGATGGCCAGAGCATTCGCCTGAGCGAATTGACCTCCGTAGAGCCCTTCACCCGGACAGTGGGGGGTCGCAGGGGAGAAGAAAAACAGGCATCGTGTCTGAGAGGCAGATAATAACTCGGCTTTTCCTAGAAATGAGTGTTTTGCTCATCTTAATTATAACGGCAGCTTAGGGACGAACCCACGCGAGCCTGGTCGGCGCCTGGCATTGTGGGAAGTGTAGTTTGAGGAGCACGCGGGAAGCGAAGGGAAAGGATGGGGAGTCAAACCCGGAAGGCGAGAACATTCAATCCAAAGGAGTGAAGTAACAGTGGCGCATAAAGGGAAGCACAAAACGAGACCAAAACCGACCTTATACTGAGACTGCATTTCCTGAAGTATGAATCTTTTGGGTATAAACAGATCATCATACAACCTTTTCTTGTATTAAGTATATGAGTACCTCTTTCCTAGGGATCCTAAGGACTGAAAATGGAGGCCAAATGCGACTTGCCCCGTTTGGACAAACCATTCCTTGTGTAAGAATTTAGAAGGAACTTCAGCGTCCCAGAGTCAAAGAATAAACAACAAATAACCTGCTTCTTTGTTTAAAGCCGTGGTCTTGAGATACCTTCTAATTATCATCAATAAAATCATCATCTTGGTTTACAAAAGTAGTTATTACAATTTGCACCAAGCTATGTAATGGATAAATGGGATTGCTCAAAGAGATTGCTCAGTATTTCCTCTGTGACCCAGATCTATCAGTCTCAAGCTGGATATGACTGTAAACAAATTCCTTCCTTGACTAGTGGCTCCTATCCTTGTAATAAAGTTAAATAATACTAGTGGTTTCCAAATATGTCTAATACGAAGACTCATTTTAAATAGCAAAATTCTTCCTGAGCCTTCACTTGATAATAGTTACACATTTAGCTGGTAAAATGCATGATGCCAAAAAATACATAATTTCACAATGATTTTAATAAATTTGAATTTCTGTGAAGACAGAGTGTTTTGCTTGTTTTGTATACTGAGGTATCCCTAACACCTAGAACAAAAAGGGAACTCATTATGTATTGAATTGAACTGATATATAAGAGAAATAGTAGTTTGTACATTACTGTTGACTACAATGTTTGGAGATCTAAGGATACTTCAGTCCCCTCTAACAATTATACTACATCTCAATTTTGTAACTTGTAGGTGGGAGACAATTGCCCTGGACAGTAGCTATACCATTCTTTGTATGCAGATTGAGTTTTGGAATCAGATTTACTTGAGATTCTAACTAAGCCAATTGAGTTTCAGGTTTTTTTCACTGAGATGGGATTAAAATTCCCTATTTCACTGTAGTCTCTGACTGACATTGAATACCAGGCTAAACCCCTACAAAGCTACAGAAATTCATGAGCCTGCCTCAGAATGCTTGGGAAAATTGAATTAGGAAAGCAGACCTAAATGTAGATATTTAATGTCAGCTTCCTGCCTGGAAAATTCTACAAAGGCAGGAGGCTAGCTAGAACAGCCCTCACTGGCAGGCAAGACAGTGTTTGGTGTAGCAAATTGTGCAGTATTCCCCAGGAATGAAGTGGATTCACTAAGGAAAGAAAGCTAAGCTATCCTCTTCCTTGCCCTTCCAGGGCAAAAAATCCTATTTAAAAAAAAAAAATAGAAGACCCCAGGTACTTACTAGAGGTCAGCAAAGAGTACATGACTTACACCAGGGTATTGTGCAGATGAAGTCTCCTAGGCAGAGAGTAGGAGAAGAGCTTAGAAAAATACATGAAGTGCCCAGAGCCAGCATTCCAGAAAGCATGGAGCATCAGAAGAGAACCACAAATAGAACCATCTGAGAAATTTTATCCAAACCTCACCACACTTGGAGGAGGCAAGAGCAAAGGGTAAGGGGTTGCGGAGTAAAAGAGGAAGGAGAAAACAGATGTTACCCCTTCCCAGCCTCAGGTTGTCTGGGTCTGGCCTCAGACCATGGTCCTCCTACCTATGACTCCCACATAGCTGGGACTGCAGACATAACCACCAACTCCTGCTTACTTGTTGAGATGGAGTCTTATTAACTTTTTGCCCAGCTGGACTTAAACTGCATTCCTCCCAGTTTCTTCCTGGGGTTACATAGGCATGCACTACCACACCCAGCCCAGATTCTTTTCCTTTAACCAAAGTTTTATTTGACTCTCTGGAGCAATACTAAGATGAATGGTGGAAGGAACATTTGGTCTTCTGGCTTACTAGTGTTAGGAAAAACGCCACACAAAGAAAACTCACGTCCAAGGGCAGGAATGAGGTAGTGCAGGAAGAAGAAAGGACAAAAGGGAAGGGCTTCAGGCCAGGCATGGCCTTTTATAGGAGAGTGAGGGTAAGGGGTTGGTGCATACACCGGGGGTCCCTGATGGAGGTGGAGCTTGAGTGGAGCTTGGTTTTGGGAGCGCAGGAAACCTTGTTAAGGGAAGGGAATGGCTCCATTTTCCATGATGTGCCGCTAATTTATAAAATGGCGGCATTATTGTTCTATCATTCCCCCATTTTTCTTTAATAATAATGAAGATAGGGGCTGAGGATCAGGAATTGGGGCAAAGCATCAGTCTCTTTAACTGCAAGGGGCGTTGTGTGGGGCGGGATCCTCAGGCTCCTGTGGCACCCTGGAGGGGGCCTTCACAGTAGTTTTCTGGGTGGTTTTGGAGAGGTTGGTATCCCTGGAGGTACAACTGGTTAAATTTTTGGTTAGCAATAGCAGACATACGGTCTAAAAGAAATCCTTGTATTGTTCTTATGATACAAGGGAGGAAGCTTAAGAATAGGAGAGCAAGAAACACAGGCATTAGGATGGGCATTAACCAGGAGAACCACTGTGAAATGTTATTCCCTAGAGGATTCCAAGAGTCCTCCAATCCCTTCTCCATTTTTCTAATTGTTCTTGGAGTTGCCTAATTTTATTTTTTACTACTCCCAACTGGTTAACATAGAAGCAACACTCCTCTTGTAAAAATAGGCAGAGACCACCCTTTTCTGCAGTGAGCAGGTCAAGGCCTCATCAGTTTTGGAGTACTGGAGTACAACTGAGGCTAGGGAGTCAAGTTGTTTTTGTAGGGTTAGGATAGATTCAGCTACCATTTGAAGATCACTTATCAATCGATTAGAGAGTTTTGTGTAGTAGTGGATAGAAGTTCCTATTCCGCAGCCCCCTGTTCCCATGGCAGCCATTATTCCCAGGGTGGCTAACAAGGGAATGGCCTGGATTGCCCGTTTTGATCAAAGATGCGTGGTAAGGGGTATGGGTAGGTCCTGATCTTCTGTAATAATGTCCATGTCAGGGACCAAAAATACGAGAGTGCAGATGCCCTTCCAGGCCTGGGGTAAACAGGGGTATACACTCTGACCACATAAAAAGAGAGTCCCAGGAATGGGGGGGCAACAGATATTGTTCCCGGTTTTGTTGGCAGCCCTAGTAGTGTGACATTTTTTTGTCACCAGGGAACCTACCTCGACTATCCCTGAGGAACTCTGTAGGCAGAGAGGGGCTGGCTGGAAGAGGGGAACTGGGGAAAGGGTGGAGGCAGTGGGCCTTTTGGTGAAGGAACAGTTTAAGGTAAGAGGTGTGGAAATATTTATGGGGCTGGCGATGACCTGAGAAGGGCCAGTTCACTGACACATCCAACAACCACAGGCTAGAGTAGGATTAGTGTGGTTGAGTAGTTGATGAGTGGTATTTATGACCTGGAGGAGAAGGGTTTCAGAAAGGGACAGTGTTTGTAAAGGAATTTTGAGAGGCTTTCTGGTGGGAAAGAATAGGTTGTCAAGAACCTGAGGTACCTGGGTGTGGAGGACCTTCTTGTATGCCTGATCCTGGACTCCTCCTCCATCAGACATACCATAATGTGTGAGCTCAGTCCAGCACACTTGTTGCCCATGATTTCCAAAGCAAGTATAGCCCGTGTTGCTGCCTTTACTCCTTGCAGTCCAGTGCGGTTTGCCCCACATTGTACATGGGGTAGCTGTATCGTAGCAAGCCCTGTGCTGGTATGAATAAGATGAGGTGCACAGGCAGGGGGGAAGTTTGGGGCTCACAAGGGTACAGGTCATAAGAAAGAAGAGAGCACAAAGAGTAAGGCACACAGGGCGAGGTATCCAAAACAGAGAGCTGCGCGATGGGGCCATCTCCACTCAGGGGGAGAAGTTACCCACAGGCCAATACTCAGGAGGGAAGGGACAAGGACAAGAATTACCCACAGGAAGGGATGGAGTGGAAGCATAGGTGGAGTGGTTTACAGTAAAGCGAAGAGTATGTTGGAAAATGAGTAGATTTCTTCAGGAGTAAAGTCTGAGAGAGTACCTTGGAGATGTAGGTAGGCTATCCAATCTATGAAGTAAGGGAAACGAAGGTATGAAAAAGGAGGGAGGCTGATTATACTAGGGGGTGGGAAATCTAAAACCTCAGAGTAGAGTGTATATAGGAAAGAGTAAAAGCGTGGGCAGGAACTGACAGGAAAGAATGGGAGGGGGAAGTATAAAGAGTGAGTAGGCGAGATGCCAGGTCCCCAGGCATAGGGCTCCTGCCTATGCCCTGGGAGTCTCCTTGAGTGTGTCTTTGTCTTCTGGGATCTTGGAAAGGCAGGAGATCTTTATTTTTGTTGGTCCTGTAAGAAGAGATTGGTAGGTCTTTTGTGGGGCTGCCAATTTTAGATTTTGAACATATACCCAGGAGGGAAATCCTGCTAGCTTAGCAGCCGTGGGTGTAGTGAGGATGACCTTAAATGGGCCTCTCCATTTTTCCTGCAGGTGGCCGGGTGTGGCTGTACTTTTCAGATAAACTAAATCTCATTTGGAGGGTGGGAGTTATTTTGGTGGTGTCAGAGGGCTGCGGTAACTGATCATGAGCATGCACTTTTCATGAGAAAAGTGAGGAGAGGATTGAGGAGAGTGGGGGGAATGTTAGGGGGTTCTGGCTGAACCGTGATAGGGAGGAGTGGACAGCCATAGAGGAGCTCGAAGGGGCTGAGCATGAGTGGTCTTTTAGGGAGGGCCCGGAGGCGGAGAAGGACTAGGGGTAGGAGCTTTGTCCAATCTAGGTGGAGCTTGAGGGAGAGTTTGGTGAGAGTATTTTTTAGTGTGCGATGTTCGACTTTACCTGA